TTGAATACAAAGATGCAAGGACGCAATAAATTGGTGACAGAGTTTTATGACTGCATTCGTACCTTTGAGATGAAACTTCAGCTTTTTGAACGGCAACTATCAGAGAGTAATCTTTCTCACTTTCCGACCTTGAAGTCCCTGCAAGGCACACCTGAGTTTTATGCTGATGTCAACACTAAAAAGTACTGCATCAAGATTTCCAGATTAATGAATGAGTTCCAAGAATGATTTGCTGACTTTAAAAGACTTGAGAAGGATTTTTTCATTTTTTGGGACCCATTCTCTGTTGGTGTTAAGGAGGTACCAGAACATCTTCAGTTAGAATTAATTGAGCTCCAGTGTGATTCTGTGTTGAGGAACAAGTTTTCGAGCGTTGATGTTGGCACATTTTATCAATATTTTGGACCAAATTATCCCAGGATTAAATGTTTTGCCTCAAAGATTATGTCAATGTTCGGAAGTACATGTCTGTGAACAACTCTTTTCTGTGATGAACTTGAACAAGTCTCGGCTTCGGTCTCAACTTACTGATGCTCACCTTAATTCAATACTGAAGGTTGCTACAGCTCAGTCGTTAGTGCCAAACTTTGATGCACTGGTCCATACCAAGAGGTGCCAATTATCAGGAAGCAGCAGTAACAAACAATAAGATTGATCAAGGTAAGTAAACACTTGATTTGTTTGTTTTTAAGGGTTTCGCACGAGTGCAGACTAAATCCACCTTTCTTATTTTGTCGTACTACTCACCTAAGAGGTGATTGCGAAGTGCTCATAATTATGTTACTTGGCCCGCATACTGTGTACCCATATTAAATCTGGCCCGCCTTGGCAAATGAGTTTGACACCCCTGGTATAGTGCTCATTTATTTATCTGTCCTTAAGAGTGACTAAGTTTTTCTCTTATAAAATGTCACTGAACTGATATGGGAGAATATAATTAATATAAATTGCTGGAATTCTTATAAGATAGTGATTAATTTAAATATAAACATGCTACAGCTCGCATTAGACATACAAATTTTAGTTCTAATTTAAGAATTTTATTAAATTTTCAAAAACTTTTATCTCTTGTGCAAAAATATGACGTTTATATTCAAATTATTGGCTGTCTTGCAAGGATTCCAGCAATACAAATTATATTCTCTTAACTTTAGTCTGTGATATTATATAAGATAAAAACTTTAAGCTTAAAACACCAAACTCTGGTTGGGAAGATGGGGGGAAGATGGGGGGGGAGGGGGGAGGGGGGAGGGTTGGGGAGAAAGGACGTGACAGTAACATGTTTGACAGCTGGCGCCAAAGATCTAGTGAAGTATTTATTTGTTTATTTATGTCCTTTAGATCGAGTTTATGTTTTTGCTTATAAAATGTCACAGAAGTGACCGAGAATATAATTTACATTAATTTGAATGTAAATATGCTATAGTTTGCACTAGACAAAAATTTTAATAATCATTTAGTACATTATTTTGAGTACATGTACAGTACAGCTTCCTCCTTAGGACAGTGTAACGTGCCCAGAGAAACATTAGGCGCAAATTTTAAAATATGATGCGCCAGATTGACTCGCACAAAATAAGATTCGCTTCAAATTAAAACATTGTCCTTAATTGTGGGTGTCACTTTAAATCAATAATCTTAAATTGAATCTCTTTAAATCGACGTTCTACTGTATAACGTATTTAAGTAATTATTAGATGTTTTAATTGCCTTTATGTTGACCTGGCAAGTTAATGTAAGGCATTTACATACCTAGGTATAAAGCTAGACGTCGCATTCTGGATTGAACAAAAATCGAGAGATTTTCCGTAATTTTCTAAGATTTTTTTCTGGTAAATGCGAGTGATTTTTAACGACGGGAACTTGTTCACAGATCTGGAATCGAGACGATTTTTTTAAAGGAATTCTGGGCCGATTTCAATTCCAGCAATCGGGGAGATCACCGATGTAACAAAAGGAGTAGAAGTGGCAACAGCACCAGTGAGCGATAAGATATAATCACTAGCGACACTAACAAAAAAAAAAAAATTGTTGTCAGAAATGTTGGTGAATGCATTAGTCATGCCTAAGAGTGTGTTATGAATTCTTTTGGAAAGCTGATAGTGTGATAAAGCACCATAAAAGTTATGACGAGCCAGGAGCAATGTGTTGAGAGTGATGTGAGCCGTGAGAAATCTGTATGTCGCGTGACTGACTCATGGACTCGCTCCCACGTTGCTGTAGTGGAATTGCTATTTGTGATATATTGTTAGATAAAAAAATTTAATACAGTACAGTATCATAATTCACCAATATGAATACACTGACTCAAGAAAGTGATTGATAACTTGCTATATCATATCTGAATGTCATTACTTAACCATAGAGCAACAGTATCTACAGTAGACCCTTGCCATTCTTTTACTTTAATTTTATCCTCTTCACCACTGATCGGCTCGTAGCCACTTGGGTGATCGGTCATGTCTCTGTTACACACTGTTGGCAAGTACTGGCTCCTGAATGTACCTCAACCTGTTCCAGTGCTTGTCAAGTCTGGTCTTGAAAGAGCTCACACTCAGTGCCATCACAACACACTCCGGCAGATAGTTCACAACTCTCACTCCGAAAAAGTTACCCCTCACAGTTTTCTGGACTTGCAGCTTCTTCAACCTTAAGCTGTGACCCCTTGTGGGGCAAGCGTCTGCCGGCTCCAGGTAAGGGCATTCGACTGAGTAGTGCCCTTTGAGAATTGTATAGACCTCAAATAGGTCCCCCCTTGCCCATCTGTAGTAAAAGCTAGGCAATTTCAGGCAATCTAATCTCTCAGGAAAGCTGAGGTGCTGAAGTGCAGGGACCAGACAGGGTGACAGTACTCCAGATGGGGAAGCACCTCATCTTGAACGACCTTCTTATAAGACCTATTAATATAGTTGCCCGATTCACCTTCTCGCAATGGCCCGAGAACCTCTGATCGTTTTCAACGTACACACTAGGTCCTTTCCCATTGTCTCAATTAATACAGTTTTTTCGTCCTGCACTAGCACTGACACTAGGCAGTTTTTTAGGGGCCATTTCACACAGACACTAAAGTTTTGAGCGTACAAAATGAGATGCTGCGTGGGGCAACTCATTGTGTTGCGGGAAAAGGATTGCACCTAGGTCCTTTTTACATTGTCTCCATTAATGCAGCTTCTTCATCCCATTCACGAGGGATAGGTTCCAAGAAATGGCACGAATTGGCAAAACCGGGAATAGCAACTAATACTACCTTAGTGCACCACTGTATACCTATACCAAACAACTGACCAGCCGCTGCAGCACTCGAACCCTTTTAACTTATCTAATAATAAAACTATCTTTGTCAGGGTCATCACTGACCTCTGCCTTTTACATTTCACTCCACTAGCATCACTAGCACTGACACTAGGCAGTCTTTTAGGGGCCATTTCACACAGAAACCCAAAATTTTTGAGAGTACAACATGAGATGCTGCGTGGGGTGACTCGTGCTGCGGGAAAAGGCTTGCAAGCTAGCCACCATCATGATTACCGAGAATCGTCGAAATCGCAAATGTCTACTGAATTACCATTAACAGAATGCATACCAATGTTACCACACGCATCACTTTCATGATATTTTTTTCCCCAGAGACAGACACTCTCCGGATTACAGATTACTCGGGTTAAGGATTTCTGGCTTTACGGATACACTAAATTTTTAGTTATTTAATTGAATTTGTGTTCCATTACAATACATTATGTGGCTTAAAAATAAAGAAAATTTAATATAAAACTATAAAATAAGAAAATATAAGAGTATGAATGTGGAGGCACTGGGCTGTAACTGCGTCGTTGACCCACCAGTAATGTGTCAGCGAGTTCGCTGGGTGGCTGTCTGGATGAACTGTGTCACATCACCCAGATGAAGGTTTGAGTGTGGAAAGAAGCTATTTTGGGGACAAAATATATGCTATTGTATTTTACGTTTTGCTATGTTTCAATTTTGTTGTTTATTATAGCAATTTTTTTTCATTTTGATATGCAATTTGAATTTGTTTTCAAATTAGGCTAGCTTTGTGCTCACTAAATTATTTAACTCTGAACCACATCGTTCATATAGTGTAGTAAGTGTTGAAGGACCGTCCACTAAATATGGCATTGAAGTGTAACTTTGAAACGATAAAGATTTGTGTGGTACAATTAAATTTAGTTTTTAAGCAAATTATTAGTAAATTTTCTTCTATTTCAATGCTTCTTCTGTAATTCCGTTTCTTTTGGAAATTCAGCCAAGGTGGGATACTAATTAGCATAAGTATGCAGAGCATATCTGTGCTTACGGGCATAACTCAAATTTTTATCTGACAGCAAGCTACACAACCACTTTTGCCAAATTTTTTAGGAAAATAAGGCCGTATTATATTCACCAAAATACAGTAGCTACTTTGATATGGAGTTGCTCAAATCACTCAAAAGCATCTTATTAAGACAAATATAACCAAAATTATGCAGTGATTTACTATTGGTTTACATCACTTTTGACATAGGATTTCAAAATCTTTTTACACTTTTAAATCATAAATGCTGAATTAACCCATACCTTACTCCTAAAAAATTTCAACCACAGCATAAAATTTTACAATTATTTCCACTTTTTTCATAGCTGTATCATGCTTGCACTGCACAATACCAGCACTACTACACTCACGATAGGTCATTGGTCTCTAATGAGATGCCACTATAAGGGGCAAAATTAAACTTAAAATTTGCTAAAGAATTGACAAGAAATGCATCACCACAAACTTAGGAACTGCACTCTACACAGTTGATGAGAAGCAGCATTGGCAACTATGGTATACACCAAGAACTTTAACCAAGCTTTCCAAATTTCAGGATATTTATCAGAAAAATCAAATACTGTATTTACAAATACAGCCAATTTTTGTAATGCCCACTTTTCAATGTTCCACTGTTTATATAACAATTATCATTCCAAATGCAGTACAGTACTCTTTATTTACTAACCTGCTCAACATAATTAGCAGTAATTGGAAGAAAATACACTTTGTCAGCAAGACCCTTGCTAGTCTGAACTGTTGCTATGTTAGGATTCATAAGTATGGATTCAACTCCCTCTTCCTTCATTGCTTTGATTGCTTGCGAACCTATGAAAAATAAATAACAATTACTATACTGTAAGTCTGAACCAGATTTTTCACTTTCTTATTTTCAAATTACAATGTACATTCAACTTACCTGAGTAATCAAACTCTCCAGCTTGACCAATAGAGAGTCCACCAGAGCCTAAAATAAGAATTTTTTTCGGAAGTCGTAGTACGTCAACTTGGGGCACCTCGGGAAGTGGCCTGTGAAAATCGGGTGGTGATACATTCTTCATCTTAAGTCATAATTTTGCAAATGTGTCTTTACATCATCAAAATAGTTAAATGATAAAAACTTAAAAAATTAATTTTTGCCATTTGAAACATTGGGGTCTATAGGAAGAGTATAGGAAGAGTATACATGTACTATTGAAAGATTCTAGAGAAAGCAGTGATCATGATATAAGAAAAACATCAAACTGAAAACCTCCTCCCCCCAAAAAACACAACAACATATACAGTAGTACCCCGATTTACCCGGTCAATTGAACCCACAGGGTACCGCGGCAAGTGAAAACCGCGTAAAGTGAACAACAGAACATATGGGATTAATTCCAATAGAGACTGGCACAACCCCCAAACTCCACTTTTTCCGACACAATACCTATGTTGTAGCAAAAATAACATCTAAATTTTATGATGGTATGCTCACACAATTAATATTTAAGAGAAATACAGTTGCCAGATTTTAACGTTTAGTACAGTCAACCCTCACTTTACGCGGTTAATGTAACCCACAGGGTCCCGCGGAAAGTGAGGAACGCGTAAAGTGAATAACATAACATATGGGATTAATTGAAATAGAGTCCGGGCCGACCCCCAAACTCCACTTTTTGACGACACACAACTATGTTGTAGTAAAAATTTTATCTTAACTTTATGATGGTATAAAAAAACAAGTAATATAGAAGAGGTTAGGTTAGGAAAAATAAAGGTTAACATAGGAAAAATAAAGGTTAGGTTAGGAAAACTAAAAGTTAGGTGGAACACTTACGTTAGTCGAAGAGATGGGTCGGCGTACGGGGATGGAGGCTGGTTCCGAGGCAGAGGGCAGGCTACTGGCCCTCAGGTGAATCACCATTACTAGGTGCATCACCATCACTGTCACTTACAGTTGTCAGGGCTTCCCTGACAAATCCCTCAAAGTCATCTTCACTGTCACTATCACTGGCTTGGGCTGGCTGTGGTGGGTTGCGGGCGAAGAAATCTGTTATGCTTTGCTGACGGCTGGTGTTGATGTTGTCGTGATACACCTTGATGTAGGGCTCCATAGTCTGCAACAGCTGGGTAGTGAAGATTTCATACCTGTTTGCGTCAGGGTTGTCGGAAAGGAGGAGCTTGGCTTTCTCGATACACTCGATGGCACCCCTAACATTACTATGGGATAAGTGTTGTTCTTCTTGGGATGACGCACCACCTGCCTCTTCACTGATGTCGTCATCATCATGTACCATCTCCTCGGTAGTCACATCAGGTTCCATTATCACCTCCATGATGTCGTCGTTGGTGGTCTCGGAGAAGCCTGGAACTGTAACAGTCTGTGCAGCTTCTCTGGCAAGGTCCACTGCTACTGCAACAGTCTGAACCTCACCAGTCACAGATTGACTCCTCCTCTCGCCTGGTATTCCATGCAACACATGTCTCCATGCGTGACGAATTGTAGCAATAGACAGCTGATCCCATGACTCCACCAAGAAGTCCACAGCTTTCTTGATGTTAAATACTCTCCAGAATTGTTTGAACAGTATTTTTTGCTGTGCCAACTGTTGATCCTCATCTTCTTCGCTCTTGCTATCGGTGGTGGTGTCACTCAGGTTACGCAACTCTTCCCTGGTGTTGGTGTAGTCGTTCAGGAGTTTGAATTTTTTCATAGAGAATGCAGCTTTTACATTACAGATTAACTCTTGGTCCATGGGCTGTAATATAGACATAGTGTTGGGAGGAAGGAAGACCACTTTTACGTTGGGGTGACGATCTAACAGTAGGGGTGAGTGTCCTGGTGCGTTGTCCAGCAGCAACAAAATCTTGAATGGCACATTCTGTCGCTCACAAAATTTCTTTACATCGGGAACAAAACAGTCATCAAACCAGGAGAGGGACAGTGTAGAAAACATCCACGCCTTACATGCGGTCAGCCAGTGGACATTTAGCTTGGTCATGTCCATGGTTTTGTAGACGTGCGGCTTGCGTGCTGTGTGGATCACCGATAACTTGAGCTTACAGGTACCGGAGGCATTGGTGGTAAACAGGACGGTGATGCGTTCCTTCTGCATCTTCCGGCCCCGAATCTTGCTGGCATTCTTTACAACGAAGGTCTTGGAAGGTAGCTTTTTCCAGAAAAGACCAGATTCGTCCATGTTAAACACCTGGTCGTCACTGTACTGTCCTTCCTCCATAATCTCACGTAAAAACGGAGGAAATTCCCTAGCCACAGCCCGGTCAGCACTCGCTTCTTCACCACCAATGTTTATATTGGTGATCTTGTTCCGGATCTTAAACCTCTGTAACCACCCAGAGGAAGCATTAAAGGGTTTGGGCTCTGTAATTCCCATCTTTTGTGCCACTGCCATGTACAGTTCACGTGCGTACTCCTTAACAGAGCGCGTGTCGACCGCCATGTTTCGTCGCGCCTGACGCACCAAGTACCTCACAAGTAATTTTTCTGTCTTGAGAAGCACGTGGTTGTGAAAATACTTGATCATAGAAGCACCTGTAGACTTTGTGATCTTCATGTGCTCCTTTATCTTGGTTGCATCCTTCTTTATTGTTCGAATCGTAGATTCATTCACACCATGCTGGCACGCCAAATCAACCTGCCTTGTTCCTTTCTCCAACTCTTGGATGATGGTATACTTCACCTTGTAGCTTAAGGAACGTCGTGTCTTCTTTGGCTTAGTGCCGCTGGGTCCAGGTAAGGAAAGGTTTCTCTCTGGGGGCGGTGGTCCGGCGGAAGCCATTTTACAGAACAATGGATACACGTTTACACGGTCTGGCGTGGAGGGATGAAACTGGCGCGGCTAGGTCAAGGATCGTCTTTCCTCCCTCCCTCCCTCCTCCGGGTGGACACGTCATAATACTTTAAGCCTATTACAGCTAGCAGCAGAGGGGGGTAGGGTTGCATGGTCAATCACAGTCCGATACGTCATATGACGTCAGTGATAACACAACAAAGACACACACTGCGCAACCTTACCGCACGGCTTGCCCAGGCGGAGGGAGGGAGGGAGGGAGAGCACAGGCAGGCAGGCGGGTGGGGCGAATCTAAAAATAGCGTCGCGCCGGACACTCTCCGCGTAATGGGGTTCACGCACCGCGTAATGTGAGCACGTTAGGTTCTGGCAGGGCACCGCGTTAACGTGGAAACGCGGAATGTGGGACCGCGTAAAGCGAGGGTTGACTGTAATAAATAATACCTCAGACTAAAGTTAGGATAATATAATTGACATTTCTGGATTTCTTGCAGGTCAGGGAATATTTTGAATGTAAACTTCATATATTTTGCACAAAAGATAAAATATTTGCTTTGTGTAAACCAAATTATTACATTAGATCTAAAATTTGTATGTCTAATGCAAAATCCATGATGTTTATATTCAAAATGATCATCATATTGTAAGAATTCCAGCAATGTAATATATATTTTGGCCGGGTAATTTGTATGAGTTTTATGAGCTAAAACAAATATCTTCAGGGAATAAAAAAAAATATTCTTCACGACACTATGTCAATCAAGTACCCCACCTTGCCTCCCCCCTCCCCCCCTCTTCACACTCACGCCAGCTGGGTGGTCGGTCCCAACCCTCCTCCCCACCCCCCACCTTCCCTCCCTACCAGAGAAATGTAGTTAGGATAACATAATTGACATTTCTGGATTCCTTGCAGGTCAGGGAATATTTTGAATGTAAACTTCATATATTTTGCACCAAAGATAAAATATTTGCTTTGTGTAAACCAAATTATTACATTAGATCTAAAATTTGTAAGCCTAAGGCAAAATCCATGATGTTTATATTCAAAATGATCATATTGTAAGAATTCCAGCAATGTAAATTATATTCTGGCAGAAAGTGAAACCGTGTAAAGCGGGGTAATACTGTACAGTAATATGTTGCTCAAAATTATGTCTTTTTCAAAGGAAAACGTCTGTATAACTAACCCTAGTAGTCAGGTTAATATGTACAGTATTTTTGGTGTTTTTTATATTATTATTTATCGTTTTTTATACATTTAGTACATTAGCCGGAATATTCGGACAATCAGGTTTTTCAGACAGGTGGTCCCCCCTTTTCGTCCGGATCTTCGAGTGTTCACAGTGAATATAAATGAACAATGTTGTATCCCTTCAACATTACGTTACATAAAATTTTAATTTATGGAGTGAGAAAGCAGAGAAGTGTGGGTGATTAGAGAGATGGAGTGGAAGGAGTCTAACTTGCACCAGTTTTCCTAGCACTCCTCAACAGCTCATCTTTAACTCGCTACCACACAATCACCTACAAGTGAAAATTTGCCACACAATCAGAGTGCATGTGGTATTCAAATGTTAATAATTTTAAAGGTAAAATTTAACAATGTGATGATTATGTCTGTAATACTTCATAAAATCAATTACAAGTCAGTTGCAATTTTTGCACAATAAAACAAAATACACAAATGACATAATGATACAAATCTACTCAGCTTATTGTACCAGTGGTGAGGGCTGATGCTTCTCTATGTACTATATTCACTCAAATACAAAAGGGACAATACAATAAAGGTCCTTATTCACATCTGCGAATTTAAATCTTCTGTAAATATTAGTGTATAGTACAGTACTGCAGTATTAAATGTACCATAACATTTCCACTACACTTCACTTGAGGAAAGAGAGAGCGAGAGAGACTTTCTCCCTATCTCAAGTGACATGTAGAGGAAATGTTATGTTACATTTAATATTATAGTACTGTACTGTACACTAATATTTACAGAAGATTTAAATTAGCAGAGAGAGAGAGAGAGAGAGAGAGAGAGAGAGAGAGAGAGAGGACTACTGTATATAAAAATTATACCAATAAAAACAAAAAATACAGTACAGTAGAGTACTACACTGCCAGTTGGTAATAGTTTCACTACACTCGGGAGACTGGAGCGGCCAAGATCTCCGACACAATTCCCTCCTCCCACAATCCGGGTGTTAACTACTGTACTGTGCACAAAAGAAA